ACGCACGTCACATACGTTTGTATACCTACACGTGGATACATACATACATACATACATACATACATACCTACCCACCCACCCACCCACCCACCTACCTACCTACCTACCTACCTACCTACCTATACCGACCTACCTGCCTGCCTGCCTGCCTACGTCCATCTATCCATCCATCCATCATCCATCCATCCATCCATCCATCCAGGCATGCACGCGTGCACAAGTCAATGTTAACAGGACTGGTATGTGTACACACACATGCACATTATCTGATATATATATATATAGACATGGATGTAGATCTAGATGGAGATATACACAAAGAAATGGATGTAGATGTAAATGTAGGTAAGGACACAGATATGGATGACATATATATACATATATATGTATGTATGTATATATATATATATGCAAATAAATAAACATACAAATAAATTAAGTATATATGTATCTAGACTCACAGATAGACATGATGACACAGATACAGAATGAGGCTTCGACATGGACTTAGACACAGACTACTATGTCCCCAAGGTCACAACCCAAATGTCCGACGACCCCTTCACTCGCAGTACGCATGCAAGCTTCGGAGAAGTTGCGAAACTGCGCTGTTCGCTTCCAGTACAAGGCGGGCGTGAGCCAGCGACTCTTGGGAGAATTCCAGGTGTAGAAGATGTTCTGATCCCAATGGACATTGTAGTGATAGCCTCCATAGTCGTGATTGCCCAGCACGCCCCACCACTCAACGCCGTCCAAACCAGGGCCCTGCAGGGTTGACACGGGCAGCGAGACCAGGGTGCAAACGAACATGAACTCCGCTGCGAACGGCACATCTCCCGGCCTTGTACACGTTCTCGAAAACATTCGTGAAGATGATCTGCCCCGCCTTGGAGTCCAATGGCTTAAGAATCACGGCAAGAGTCGCAGAAGCGAGATATCCAGTGCACCACCGCCCCGGTACAGCTTATGCTTCGCACTTATCAATAATGATAAAAACTCTTTGTGTTGAGACAACGAAAAAAGAGAGACACTGCAACGAGAAGAAGTAGTTTCCCCACACGTGGGCTGCAATTATTGATTTAGCGAGCTAAGTGGCCGGATCTGTTTTGTCCGTCTCGGCGTTGCAGGTGCCAGGGCTGCTGATTCCTTAGCTGCCCTTGCCGCCCGAAGTTGTTCATAGTAGTTCTGCTCGTCCTTATAGAGTCTATTGCAAAGGAAAAGCGCTGTTCCAGAAGCCTAGATTCCACCAGGATAGAAGTTGTCACCTGCAGGAGCGGGCCACTTTTCGGTATGATGATGATGATGATGATGGTTACTAACTACTACAGTAACTACTACTACTACTCCTCCTCCTCCTCCTGCTGCTGCTGCTGCTGCTGCTGCTGCTACTCCTGCTGGTAATGGCAACTCATATTGAAATGACGGTGTTGAACACAACACTATTCACTACGGGTGGACTATTACTAGCTTGATGTGGTGACTGTTGCAAAGTTGCTGATACTTGCTGATACTCTTGCCCTCAAGTGACCGACGTTGAGCACAAACTTCGGCTTCAAGTCAGCAGCGACTTCAGCCATCTTGTCTGCCACATAGGTCTGAGCATGAGTGTCCTGGTCTCATCTTTGGATCCAATCACATACGCTGAAATCCATGACGTCCTAAACATTCTAAGTCCCAGACGCAATCATATTTCGGGCGTCAAATCATCAAAAGTTCGTGGACCCTGCCCCGGTTCGAACACAACACGTCGGACACATTGGTATCAATGTGTGGGAAGCTAAGCACTCCGTATACTTGATACGAGCCGGGAATCAATGGGATCGATGACGGTCGGCCGGTTCTTAAATGTGACCGGTGGTCCGGAGCCACTAACGATGCCACCCCAGTCACCTGCACATCGGGCTTCAGGGTAGAGATTTGCCACAACTCCCTGCTAAATATTGCATGCCAAATCTAGTGAAAGCACAAACGCAGTTTTTCCAAGGGCTTCCTGTCGGGGGAGTGCCGTCCTGAAACAGGACACGCTACAGCACCTTAGCAAGGCGAGGGGCCAATAATGAAGTAGCGCTGCTCCTCCGTTCCATTGAAGCATGCCGTGGGCCACTCCTTGCCGTTGTAGTCCAGAGCATTCTTCGGCATCACCGGCCATGAGACGTTGCTGGGATCCGGACACTGAAAGGCGCAGCTGCCGAAGTGCAGAGATCCGGTGTCCGAGCTGTTGGTGTCGTTCAATTTGAGAAAGGCATAGGGCTCTTTGCAAGCGACGCACCCAACAGCGCTGCTGCACTTTTTGGCTTTGCCGATGCCT